TAAGACCAAGTTTTATTCAGGTACAAGCTCTCCCTCCTCCGCGAGGACAGATCTGCACTTCCCCCCCCCCAATAGCTAGCAATCCAAGACAGTCCAGCGGCGCCTGAGCGGTGGGGGTTGCCTTCTGACACACTTTCGGTGATGTCAAGGTGTGTGGCATATGCAAATAAGTTATGCTAATGAGCTCCTGCACCTCTTTTTCTACGAAATGACCCCTGCCGAGCACACTTGATTAGCCAGGGACTCACAACTGGGCAACCTCTTCCTCTCTTCCCTTCCACCAACAGCAGCAAGGCCAAAAGCCTCCCCCCCACCCCCGGAGGAAGGGAATGAGAGCGCGTGTGGGAGAGGGACTCACAGTGACGGGTGAGAGATGGGCTCTAACTGAATGCAGAGACCAGAGCCTTCCTTGCCTGCGGGCTCCTTAGTCTCCTCTTCCCTTGTGAAGCAGCTCCCCAACCAGTGCGGCCAGTTTGAGAACGAGGAGTTCTTTAGGAAGCAGGGTGGAAGTGGAGCCGAGCCCGGGCAGCAGCAACATGGCGGCTGCACACGGGGTGGGGGAACTCCACACTTCATTTTTAATGAGGGGGTGAATAAGAGAAGAGTGGAAGGAGATAGAGCGGCATCGAGGAGACCCGGCGGCTAGTCTGCTGTTTCGCTTCTCTTTTCTGCCCTGGGAAGAGGAGGAAAAAGGGGGGCGTTGAAGTCGGGAGGCCTTTGAAGTTGGGGCGTCCAGGCCCGACCTCTTAAGACCAACAACGTTTTCAAGGTGTAAGCTTTTGTGCATGCACACAAAAGCCTATACCCGGAATTAAACTTTGTTGGTCTTCAAGGTGCCGCTGGACTCAAACACTGCTCTGCTGCTTCAGACCAACATGGCTAGTCACCTGAATCTAACAACAAGGTAGTAACTGAGATACTTCTCTCAGGGTAGTTTCAGGTGGGTAGCCATGTTAGCCTGGAGCAGAGGGGTGAAAGAGTGGCGAAAGTGCCACCAAATCACAACTGACTTTTATGGAGATCCTGTAGTGCTTCCAAGGCAACAGACAAACAGAGGCGCTCTCCTTGGCGGTCTCCCATCCAAGTACTAACTGAGGTTGACCCCGCATAGCTTCCAAGATCTGACGAGATGGGACTAGCCTGGGCCATCCACGTCAGGGTCCTGTAGTACCAGCAGAACAAAATCTGAGTCCGGTTATACTTTAAAGACCAACATTTTCCAGGGTACACGCTTCCATGGGTTGAAATTCATTCCATCAGATGCAAATGAGAACGAAGGTCCATCAGCCCTTATATCCAGGTCAGAAGGTGGGAGCCGCTAATCTGTGAGCTCATTCATACCTTGGTCTGGAGTAACTCTACATGGGACTGGACTGCCAATATATGCTTCACACCTACTCAGAACTGACTTATATTTTCAATGTGGCCAGCCAGTGAGCAGTGACTCACAAAAGCTCCTCCCCTGCCACAAATTTTGTTAGTCTTTAAGGCGCTACCGGACTCTTGCTCTTTTCTAGACTACACAGTGGCACACAAACTGAACTGTGGCATCTGTATGGCTGACGGCTGCAATCACTAATATGGCAGTTTCTGGTCTGGCCCGTGCGTAACTGCAGAAACTAGACGCTGCACATCTCTCGCTTAGCACACTCTGATTTCATGAGCAAGGAAGGATGTGGTTCTACCTCGTAGGTGATCAATTGCACCTCTTATCACATCCCTTTGGCACTTCTGCACAGACAGCGTAACATGCACTGAAAATGAAAGGGGGGGGGAACGGGGAAATCAGCACCCCAAACCCTGAAAGCCAAGCTATACAGTCACAAGAATCACACCATGCGGTTTTTGCTGGGCTGCACCCACTCCGGATTCCGTAAAGATGGAATCACATGCCTGAATGCTCCCCAATATCGACAGATAGACAGACAGACAGACAGACAGGCAGGCAGACAGATGATAGATAGATAGATAGATAGATAGATAGATAGATAGATAGATAGATAGATAGATAGATAGATGATAGATAGACAGACAGATAGATGATAGATGATTGATAGACAGATGATAGATAGATAGACAGACAGACAGATAGACAGATGATAGATAGACAGACAGATGATAGATAGATAGACAGACAGACAGACAGATAGATGATTGATAGATAGATGATTGATAGATGATAGATAGACAGACAGATAGATGTTAGATTGATAGGTAGGTAGGTAGGTAGGTAGGTAGGTAGATAGATGATAGATAGACAGACAGATAGATGATAGATGATTGATAGATAGATGATAGATAGATAGACAGACAGATAGACAGATGATAGATAGACAGACAGACAGATAGATGATAGACAGACAGATGATAGATAGACAGACAGACAGATAGATAGATGATTGATAGATAATAGATAGACAGACATATAGATGTTAGATTGATAGGTAGGTAGGTAGGTAGGTAGGTAGGTAGGTAGATAGATAGATAGATAGATAGATAGATAGATAGATAGATAGATAGATAGATAGATTCAACGATAACTTTCCATGCATGGAATACTAGCACAAGGAAAGGCTGAGGGACTTGGGAATGTTCAGTCTGGAGAAGGGGAGGTTGAGGGAGGACATGGTTGCTCTCTTGAAGTATCTGAAGGGCTGTCCCTTAGAGGAGGGCAGGGAGCTGGTCCTGTTGACAGCAGAGGAGAGGACTCGCAAGAATGGGTTTAAATTAAGGGCGGGAAGGTACCAGCTGGATCTTAGGAAAAATGTTTTTATAGTACGAGTAGTTCAGCAGTGAAATCGGCTGCCTAGGGAGGGGGTGAGCTCCCCCTGATCGGCAGCCTTTAAGCAGTGGCTTGACAAACACTTGTCAGGGATAATGTAGGCTGATCCTGCATTGAGCAGGAGGGTTGGACTCGATGGCCTGTCTGGCCCCTTCCCACTTTACAATTCTCTGTCAAGGAGAAGCAGACAATTAGAGGGAAGCTTTGCAGGGAGTTTTAGGGTTATGGGAGCTCATTAAGAACATAAGAGACGCCAATGTTGGATCAGGCCAAAGGCCCATCCAGTCCAACACTCTGTCACACAGTGGCCAGAAATACCAGGTGCCATCAGGAGGTCCAGCAGTGGGGCCAGGACATTAGAAGCCCTCCCACTGTTGACCCCCCCCCCAAACACCAAGAAGACAGAGCATCACTTGCCCCAGAGTCCCTATCTATACCTTGTGGCTAATAGCCACTGATGGACCTCTGCTCCATATGCCTATCTAATTCCCTCTTGAAGCCGTCCATGCTTGTAGTCGCTGCCACCACTTCCTTCAGGCTCACCTGCCCAGTCTAGCAAAACCTGCACGATGGTTTTTCCTGCTTGTTTAGTCTGGCTTTGATAGTGTCGAAAAATATGTAAGCCTCAGGTCAAGCCAAATTCAGAAACTATCCTATGGGCTTTTCTGCACTCTAATTTTTATCGTTTGTGTGCCCGTAGTGTGCCTCCCCCTTTTCTGCACGTCTTTTGCTCACTCTAGTGGTGGCTTTGATATTACACCACTTGCAAGAAATAAGCCAGAGATATAGCGATGTAATATCAAAGCCACCACTGGAGGGAGCAAAACACATGCAGAACAGAAAAAAAGCGAGGCAAGATGGGCACACAAGCAACAAAGCAAGCAAGAGTGCAGAAAAGCCCAACAAGCTGGGGAGAAGGTGTGTGGGAAGGGAGAGAAAGAGATGATCTCCAACAAAAATTTTTTAAAATCATGAACATTTAAATAATTCAAAAAAATATATCTAAAAACATAAACTCCTGTTTAGACTTAACAAAATAAAAGGTAACTTAACAAGAAATCATCTCCCATGAGTTATTATTTTATTTACTGACTTCAGTTATATCCTGCCTTTTCTTCCAATGGGAACCCAAAGCAGCTTACATTAAGAAAATAAGAGACGCCAATGTTGGATCAGGCCAAAGGCCCATCCAGTCCAACACTCTGTGTCACACAGTGGCCAGAAATACCAGTGCCATCAGGAGGTCCAGCAGTGGGGCCAGGACATTAGAAGCCCTCCCACTGTTGACCCCCCCAAGCACCAAGAAGACAGAGCATCACTTGCCCCAGAGCCCCTAGCTATACCTTGTGGCTAATAGCCACTGATGGACCTCTGCTCCATATGCTTATCTAATTCCCTTTTGAAGCCATCCATGCTTGTAGCACCCACCACTTCCTGTGGCAGTGAATTCCAAGTGTTAATCACTCTTTGGGTGAAGAAGTACTTCCTTTTATCCATTCTAACCCGACCGCTCAGCAAGTTCATGGAGTGCCCACGCAGTTTCATGGAGTGCCCACGAGTTCTCCTCGCCTCCATTTGTTCTCCTCGCCTCCATTTTATCTTCACAACAACCCTGTGGGGTAGGTGAGGCTGAGAGAGTGTGACTGGCCCAAGGTCACCCAGTGAACTCCCATTGCACAAGTGGGGACTCCAGCACGGATCTCCCAGACCCCCGTCGGACACTCTAACCCCACGACACCACAATGGATCTGCTCACACTCAGCATACCTTTCCCCTGGCGAATATAATATCTGGGACATCGTAGTTATAGAACTCATTAGTAGCTGGGACATCCTGAATCGAGACGACGTCAACCACACCAGGCATCTTGAGGGCTTCTGAAGCGTCTATTGATCTGAGTGGAGGAATCAAAAGGCACAAAGCCATTGACTACGGCGAGGCACACGGACGACGAAACCCACAGAGAAAATTCGCATGAACTCCTGAAGGTGCCTTATACTGAATCAGACCACTGCTCCATGAAAGTAAGTATTTTCTTCCTCTGCTTAGTAGTGGGCTCCCCAGGGTCTTAGGTCAAGGTCTTTCACATCACCGCCTACCTGGTCCTTCCACCTGGAGATACCAGGGATTGAACCTGGCAACTTCTGCTTGCCGATCCATTCATCTACCACTGAGCCACGGCCCACTCTCTCCTCTTTTGCCATCAAGTCACAGCTGACTTTTGGCAACTCCACAGTGTTTCCCAGCTCCACTTCTTTGGCTCCTACCTCATCACTGCCGTCACACAGAAAGGCGGAACTTTTCTAAACCACCAGGAGAGAGTTCACTTTCAAACGCCACCCGCCTGCCCAGGCCCAATGATACACAGCGGCACATACACAATCTTTGCATGGGCTTTGGAACTGGTTACTAGAACCAGGAAGAGCTCTTCATCCACGGCACGGATGTCATCACAGTAAAGAGCCTCCCCCGTGGCGTGTTTAAGACCGGCCTGGTGCGTGATCGGGCGGCCGACTGGGTCTTCGGCAAGTTGTCCTGATGCCACATCCTTCTCAATCGTCACAAAAGACAAAAATAAGAGTAAAAGTCAAGATGTCCCCGAGTTTCAGCCCCAAATTCCGTCTTTGTAAGCCTCCACCTCTTTGTACAGCTACCAGTAACTACAGACATAATTAGGCAAGTTGCATTCTAATATAATATGTAAGCTAAAAGAAAGAATGGCTTGGGTGTGCTTTCGGCATCATCAACAAGGCATGGCTTGGATCCCACAGTAAATGGGAGGCATTTTCACCAGCAGAGGGGGACTTCTTGGTTTCTCCCCTCCCA